AAAAAAAACGGACTTAACATTTCTATATATAAGGTGGTCAAGATTGTCCCAAAGCTAGCTTAGCTACTAACAGTTGAACTTTTTGAAAATGAATTGCATAGTGAAGGCCAGTAAATTAGGGATTTAAAATTATACTATCGTATTCCTTGTTTAATCCCTATAAAAAACATGTTTCAAATAAATTGGGCGTTTTTTAAGAACTATTTTTTAAATAATTTTTTAAGACGAGGTGCCTTTTTTTGTGAGAATCAAGATTTTTTTAAATTGGTTTTCGAAAACTTCTGAGATATATTTAGTAAGGTGTTAAACATCGGATTTTTGCAAGAATTTAAATTTTATTGCAGGTATAATATTTGTACGGCAAGATTTTTCTGCAAGGCGACAAACCCCTAGAAATGGGCGTGGCAATTGCAGGACTGAAATTAGCAAAACGCAGATTTTATTGCGGATTTCGACAGAATATCGTTTTGTTAACATCATTTGTTCCACAACTTCGGAATCCGCAATAAAATTTTACTTTTTGCAAAAGCCCGATGCTTAACACCTAACTAAATATATCTCAACATAATTTTTCGAAAAGAGATTCCAAAAAATTTTCGATTCTCACGAAATAAACCATCTCATCATAAAGAAAAGTATTTTAAAAATAGTTCTCCAAAAACGCCCATTTTTTTTAATTGGCGCAGCGTAAATTTGTGTATCCCAATGTATTTATGAAAGGCTATTAGTTGTTAGTTCCATTTTACTAATGCTCTAAGGCGAAAAGCTTCCAATGTTACCGGATTCATCGGGCAGTTAAATAAAGATAATCATAATATTGTTATTGAGCTTTGTACCACAATTATTTTATTAGGGAAAATGGAAAATGCAACAAAGTCTAGTCCAATTTCAATAATTTTCAACGGTTTGCTTTTATGTGGCAAGCACAATAACCATACCGAGTTTGGTACAAATTGTTAAAACGGTTAACGATATACATATATGTGATCATAAGTGGGCGGTGCCATGCCCATTTTCCAAAATTTTATCATAAGCGTATTTCCTGACAAAGAATTGTTGCAACCATCAATTTTGAATAAATTAGCTTTAATATTTACTGATTTATCGAGGATTTCGTATTTCTCGAAATTACCGTTATATGGGATGTGGGCGTGGTTATTGTCCGATTTTAAAAATTTTCGGCCATTTGGTATGTTGTACCAGGGTCAGCAACTGTGCCAAGTTTGGAAGAAATTGGTGCAGCGGTTACCAAAATATACACATGTGGGCGTGGCTACGCCCATTTTTCAAAATTTTTAATATTCTTATTTCTCGTCTAAAAGTTATTCTAAATGTCAATTTTGAGTGAATTATCTTCAGTAGTTACTAAAATATTGCAGTTTTCGTATTTCTGAAAATTACCGTTATATGGGAGGTAGGCGTGGTTATTGTCCGATTTCGCCCATTTTCAATACCATCCGTCCTACGCCCAAAAGAAGTGCATGTACGAAGTTTCGTTAAGATATCTAAATTTTTACTCGAGTTATCGTGTGCACAGACGGACGGACGGACAGACAGTCACCGCGTAATCGATTTTTCTTTTCATTCTGATCATTTATGTATACATTTGTCTATATCTATCTCGATTCGTTTTGCCTGTTACAAACAACCGTTATGTGAACAAAGTTATTATACCCTTGTGCACAAGTGCGCTCGGGTATAAAAATGGAGAAGTTATAGCAGCTATTTCGGAGATCACCACATCTCCTCCTAATCAAGCTAAAAAAATATTTATCAAGTTCTTGGCTTTACCGCTGCTAAAACCTGCCGACATAAAGCAGGTATTGGAAACTGTAGAAGCCGAAGCTTTTAGTCCACAATTCATAAAACAAGATATGAATGAAAGCAATTTTAAGACTTGCGTCATATATTTCAAACGTCAGTGGATGAATAAGATAAGCTAAAATTACTCTTAAATGATTCCTTTCAAAAGTGAAAATGAAATATTTGATTTAAGGAGCATCCTGAAAATTTTTCTATGTACAAAAAGCACATTACGACTAGCAGCTCTGCGGATGCTTTCCACAGTCAGCTAAGAATGAAACTGCCGAAACAACGAAACTTCTGTAGATTTCTAAACGTTCTTAGCGATGTAGATGCGGCAAAATCAATAGATTTCTTCAAATCAATCACAGGATTTATGCAAAGGGAAACATAAGTGGTTCAAATATCGTACCCATTTTATTCGTGAACTCATCTGCCAATTAAAACAAAAAAAAAAAATAACGTTTGCAGATATTCTCAACCAGCTTTCTATAAAAGAAAGCCGTATGTTTGCAGAAAGCTTTGTAAACGAGTTACAAATCACCGATGACGACACTGAAGATGATATACATATACGAAGAGATGGTGCACACTGAACAAAGAGATCTCATATGTGTCATTTGCTGTAAAAGACCAAATTTTTTGTTTTATTTCATGTAAGCATTGTAAATGTTGTTGCGATTGTTTCACCCGAGTAAAAGAGCGGAGTTTGCAGTCTGGAGTTAAAATATTATGCCCAAATTTGCCGTGCGATTCAAGATTCAATGATGATCTATACGTAAAGTGTTGTTGTAATTCTAATTAATAAATTTTGTTCCATTCTGAATAAGGTTTTTTGTTCGATTTTGTTAACGTGAAATATGTGTGTGTACAGGCTCTCAACAGTTGCCGATACTGAATTAAATTGAAGCAAAAGTGAAAAATATTTGAAATTGATACTGTATTATTTAAATTGATACCCGTCGCCCCCCAACCCTTCTCCGCAAAAATTGGTTTTATGTTTTCCAACCAAATTTTAAAAAGCACAATAAAACCATAATGGCTTTATTTCCATTTCTAGTTGGAAATAACCCCGTATCAAAATTCGGTTTTATTTCCAAAACAAAATGGAAATAAAGCTATTATGGCCTTATTGCGCATGGTGTTATTGCACCCCACCCTCTTGCACATCCCATATATTTATAGGCACTCCGTATGTACTTTTAATAGTAAAGTAATTTTCGATATTTCACCTTCAGCATATACTCTTTAGTTCAACAGAAAAAAAAACTCGAAGATACATAAATGATACAAGTTTTAATATCATGCTAACTAGTCATTTTCTTATTAATGTATTTTTCCTCCAACAGTTGTTATATATAGATGTCGTGATATGGCCGATAGCTGTGGTATGTGCTTGGCTTTGGCTGAAAAATATAATTGCGGCTGGTGTTCATCTACAAATACGTGCGAAGTAGAAGAACAGTGTAACAAAAATAACGAAGGTAAAACCGATTGGTTGAATCGCATGGAAACTTGCCCAAATCCCGAAATACACTCATTTTATCCAAAGACGGGCCCGTGGGAGGGAGGCACGAATATTACTATACGCGGCATCAATTTAGGCAAAAACTTCACCGATATATATTCAGGTGTACGTATAGCCGGTATTAGTTGTATGCCATTCCAGCAGTACTATATTGATACGAAGGAGATTGTGTGTAACGTGGATAGCCCGGGCGTTCAATTATATAGAAATGGTCGTATAGTTGTCCAAATCGGCGATTATAGAGGCGAATCTAAGGAAGATTACGAGTTTGTGGACCCGAAAATAACTAATTTCTCACCTCAGTACGGCCCTGTTTCCGGGGGTACGCATGTCCGCATAATCGGAAAATATCTGAATGCAGGATCACGAATCCAATCATTCATAAATGAGCATTTGCCGTGCGAGATAATGAGCGTAGATGTTACACAGGCTATATGTCGCACTGCGCCTTCACCAGGCATCATTGAAGGCAGACTTAAGATGTTATTCGACAACGGACAACGCGAGTTCAATGAATACAATTTTAAATATGTTCTAGATCCCACCATTGAACAAGTATCATCGGGTCCAAGTGGCCAGCTCAAAGTGCCACGAGGAATACCGGCCGGTGGTATTGAAATCGCAGTGGCTGGAACACAGTTTAATTTTATTCAAAGTCCAAGAATGTATGTTTACTACAAAAATAAGGTATTTTATAGTCAATGCAAGGTTGAATCAGCGACAGAAATGATATGTTTCTCACCTGTAATTGCAACTGATAACGATGTACTTGATGCAGAAAAACCGGAATTGCTTGAGTATGGATTCCTCATGGATAACGTGTTGCGAGTTCAAAATCTTTCTAGTAAACATAAAAATCATTTTGAGCTTTATCCAAACCCGTTGTATTATAATTTCGAAGAGCATATCAAATATTATAAAAGCGAATATTTAACAATAAATGGCCGCAATTTGGATCGTGCATGTAAGGAAACTGATGTTGTGGTACGAATAGGCAAAGGTATTTGCAATATAACTTCACTATCTCGCCAACAATTAACCTGCCGTCCACCACCGGAATCGGCTACTGAGTCTAGCAACGAACCGGGTCCAGAAGTTATTGTTCGCATTGGGCAATCGTTGGAGTATCGCATTGGTGTTTTGAGCTATGCATCGCCCAATTTAATGCACGATTTAAGCAAAAATGTACTGCTAGTGATTGGAAGCGGTACCGTCGTCATACTAATAATTTTTGTCGCTCTTCTTGTTGCCTATAAGAAGAAAACATCCGAATCAAACCGAGTTTTGCGGAATATGCAAGAGCAAATGGATATATTAGAACTTAGAGTAGCTGCTGAATGCAAAGAGGCCTTTGCCGAACTTCAAACAGAAATGACCGATTTAACAGGTGATCTTACATCTGGTGGCATACCATTTTTGGATTACCGTACATATGCAATGAAAATTCTTTTTCCAAATCACGAGGATCATATTGTATTACAATGGGAACGACCTGAATTATTACGTAAAGAAAAGGGCCTACGTCTTTTTGGGCAACTCATCATGAATAAAACATTTTTACTACTTTTTATTCGTACACTAGAATCGAATCGGTACTTTTCTATGCGTGAGCGTGTCAATGTAGCTTCACTAATTATGGTTACACTTCAGTCGAAATTAGAATATTGTACTGATATTCTGAAGACATTGCTTGGTGATTTAATTGAAAAGTGTATAGAGGGTAAAAGTCATCCTAAGCTATTATTGCGTCGTACGGAAAGTGTGGCAGAAAAAATGCTCAGTGCGTGGTTTACATTCCTGTTATATAAGTTTTTAAAGGAATGTGCCGGAGAGCCTTTGTATATGCTGTTTCGGGCAGTAAAAGGCCAAGTAGACAAAGGACCTGTCGATGCATGCACACATGAAGCGCGTTATTCACTTAGTGAAGAAAAACTTATAAGACAACTTATCGATTTTCGCCCAATGACGGTGTATGCAAGCATCATTCAACAGCCAATATTTTGCAATAGTATAGATATGATGCCAACTCATACCGAAAATGTTCCAGTAAAAGTGCTCGATTGCGATACAATTGGACAGGTTAAAGAGAAATGTTTGGATACGATATATCGTAATATTCCCTGGAGTCAGCGGCCGCGTAAAGATGATCTTGATTTGGGTAATAACATTGTTACTCAGAAATATTTCTTGTTTTGAAGTTTTGTTTTTAACTCTTTAGAATGGCGCACTGGAGCTAGTGGTCGCGTTATTCTATATGATGAAGATACAACATCAAAAACGGAGAGTGAATGGAAGAAACTCAACACACTACAACACTATAATGTTCCTGACGGCGCTGGCCTGAGTTTAGTTCCCAAGCAAAGTTCTAATTATAACTTTTCAATCCTGTCTGACAAAAATGAGAAATGTCACAAGTAAGTAAGAATATTTTATCGTTGCGGATGATAACTCTAACCACTTTAATTTGATTCAAGTTCGCTTTAGAAATTTAAGAAAAAAATCCGACGATGCCATGTTAAAGATCCAAAGGTTACAAACCGATTATCTTTTTTAAACCATTGAATAAAACGCGGCAGTTTTTGATTGCTTTCTTTTCACTAATACATAATTTATAGCAGCACTTTAACTACTTTATTAAAAATTGCTAAACGTCTAAAACCATCAACGGAACAGGAACCAGCGTCCAAAAACGGCAATTCTGATCGCACGATTACTCGTTTCGGATGTAATGAAGCAAAATTATGGATGTTTCCTAATCCAGTTTAAATTAACGCGGCGCACTCGAGGGCCTTCACCTCAACGTGTTACTAAGAATCGAGTTATATCGACCTTGAATAACGTGATTCGAACCCTTTGTTTTCAATTAGTTTGAAAATTGTGTAAACTTCGCTAGGTTTAAACGTGCAGAACTTTCCAATTCTCAATTAACTGGATAAACTAAACAGATTGCTGGATGTTGTTGTTTTTGTAGCGGCTACTAAGCCCCGCTCGGGTCAGTTCATCCGTCAACGTTGTCGTCCGTTTCAGCTAGAGGGAAGCCCAGGAAGTGTGCGACTTCAACAGGGTCTGTCCATAGGGACAGGGGCGTCAGTTGGGTGGGGTTCTTAGGGCATGTGAAGAGGTGCCGAGAGTCATGTGGAGACTCTCCACATGCCGGGCATTGGTTGGGCACATCCTCATTAATTCTGCTCAGGTATGAGTTTAGCCTGCTGCAATAGCCAGAGCGAAGTTGGGCTGTTGTGGTGCGGGTCTCCCGAGGCAGACAAAGTTCTGTCCCGTCCACGTCCGGTGGTTGTATGCCTAGAACGGCATTCACAGGGCGGGAGTCTACATAACTCTAGACTGATTCCCTGTGAATGCCGTTCAGGACCTGTCGGTAGGCTGACGGGTCCAGAGGCTGTAGAGATGTCTGTGGCTCCCCACAACGAACTGCTTACAGAGCATTATGTTATGCTCCTTGACTGGGAGCATCTGGACCTCGTCGTGTAGGTGGTGTTGGGACGTCATCAGGAGGCATCCGTCGTCAAGTTCCACTAACGGCAGCCCTAGGAAGCGTGCAGCCTCCACCGGGTCGGTCCACAGGGAAAAAGGGGTTAGGGTTGTCGGGTTTTCCGGGCATGCGAAGAGATGTTTCGAGTCGTGTGGGGTCTCTTCGCATGCCGGCACATCCGCATTCAGTCTACTCAGGTAACCTGCTGCAGTAGCCAGAGCGGAGTTGGGCTATTGTTGTTCTTGTCTCCCGAGGCAGATGAAGCTCCGTCTCGTCTATGTCCGGTGGTGGTGTGCCTAGAACGGCATTCACAGGTCTAGAGTCTACATAACTCGAGACTGATTCCCTGTGATTGCCGTTCAGGCCCAGTCGGTAACCTGACGGGTCCAGAGGCTGCTTGATGAACCTCTGGACTTCGTCCGTCAGTTCGTATAGATGCCTCCTGACGTGCCTAGGCGAGGGCTCCTCTGCAAGCAGCTGTCTGTTCGGGTGATGTTCTGGCGACATCAGGAGGCATCCAGTCGCTGTCCTGAGTGCGGTTTTCTATACTGTGTGTAGCTTCGTCCACTGCGTCCTACTAGGCCCCGGCGACCACACTGGTGCTGCGTAATTTAACAACCGGCCGGCCTATTGCCTTCTATGCTGCCAGCAACGTTTCTTTGTCTTTGCCCCAAGTGCTGCCGGCTAGCGACTTGAGGACCTTGTTGCGGCTCTGTACTTTATTGACAATAGCGGTTGCGTGCGCAGAGAAGGAGAGCAGGCTGTCGAATGTTACTCCGAGTATTTTGGGATTATTCACCGTCGGAATTGGTGTACCGTCGACGTGAATTCCCAGCGGTAGCCTGACCTCCTTCGTCCAGGTTGTGAACAAGGTCGCAGAGAATTTCGTAGGGGAGAGGGCTAGACACTTTGCAGTGAAGAAGCGAGAAAAATCGGAGAGATATCCGTTTACTTTCGAACACAGGTCATCAATTCCATTCCCAGTCGCCATGATCGAGCAATCGTCAGCGTAAGAGACAATCGAGACTTCCTCTGGTGGTTGAGGGAGCTTTGAAATGTAAAAGTTAAACAGTAGCGGGGAAAGGACACCACCCTGTGAAACCCCCTGTTTTATTTTTCTGAGTTTACTCGATTTGTGTCTAAACATTACCGATGAGTGTCGACCACTCAGATAATTTGCCGACCACCGTTTCAGCCTCTGTGGGAGAGAGGAAGCCTCTATATCTTCTAGTAGCGTGGAATGGCTGATAGTGTCAAAAGCCTTTGACAGGTCCAACACTACTAGAATCGTTCTATCACAGGGACGGTTACGGTTAAGGCTACGAGTTATCTGAGTATTTATGGCGTTAAGTGCTGTTGTTGTACTGTGGACTTTACGGAAACCATGCTGATGCTTCGCTGTGGTCAGGCGGGTCGTGAAATACGGGAGCAGCAAGGCCTCGAGTGTCTTCGCTACCGGGGAAAGGAGTGTTATCGGTCGATACGAATCTCCTTTGTTGGCAGGTTTCCCCGGTTTGAGCAATGGGACCACTCCCCACCTTCCAGATGTCTGGGATGATGAGAGTGGCCATAGCCAGATTGAGGACCTCCGTTAGGTACGCTACTCCCGCAGGACCCTAATTTTTCAGCATCAGCATGCATATTCCGTCGGGACCCATGGCTTTGGAGGCTTTCGCCTTCTCGATGGCCACCTGAACTTCACCGCAAGTGAAAGCAAGGGGGCACAGGTTGCTGGCAGCTTGTGCAGCCTTCTGGTCACTCGAGGTTTGGCTTTGTCCACCGGAGGATGCAGTATGAACTGCCGGCTAAAATAGCTCGCGCATCGCTCCGGGTCCGACGAAGCATGGTCGCCGAAAGAAATTTCGACTCTGTCGTCGTGCTTCGTCGGATTGGACAGTGACCTCACGGTTGACCAAAGCTTACTCACACCAGAGCTGAAGTTACAGGTCTTCAGATGCTCTTCCCACTTCCTCCGCGTATGTACGTTCATGCAGTCTGACCTTCGCCCAGGTGGTGAATAGGGTTGCCGAGGATTTCGCAGGAGATAGGGCAAGGCTGCTTACAGTGAAGAAGGGAGATAACCGTTTACTTTCGAGCACAAGTCATCAATTCCATTCCCAGACGCCATGATCGAACAATCGTCAGCATAAGAGACAATATTGACACCCTCTGGTGGTTGGGGAAGCTTTGAGATGTAATAATTAAACAGCAGTAGGGAAAGGGCACCACCCTGTGGTACGCTCTGTTTAATTATAAGTAGCTTTCTGGTTTTGTCTATGAAAATTACTGACGAGTGTCGATACTCGGGCAATTCGTCGACCACCGTTTGAGTCCCTGTGGGAGTGAGGAGGCCTCTATGTCTTCTAGCAGCGTTGAATGACTGACAGTGTCGAACGCCTTGGACTGGTCCAACGCTACTAGAATAGTTCTCTCGCAGCGGGGTCGGTTAAGGCCACGAGTTATCTGAGTGTTTATGACGTTAGGTACTGTTGTTTTGCTATGCACTTTACGGAATCCATGCTGATGCTTCGCTGGGTTCAGGTGGTTCGTGATATACGGGAGTAGCAGGGCCTTTAGTGTCTTCGATACCGGGGAAAGGAGGGTTATCGGGCGATAAGACTCACCTCTGTTGGCTGGTTTCCCCACTTTGAGCAGTCCCATGACGACGTTTACCTTTATCCACCGGAGGATGCAGAATGAACTGCCGGCTAAAAGAGGTCACGCATCGCTCCGGGTCCGACGAAACGTGGTCACCAAAGTCTATTTCGACTGTGTCGTTACGCTTCGTCGGGTTGGACAACGACCTTACGGTTGACCAAAGCTTGCTCACACCAGAGGCGAAGTAGCAGGTCTTCAGATGCTCTTCCCATTTCTTCCCCTTATGTACGCTCACAAGTTGCCGAATCTCCGAATTGAGATCACTGATACGGGGATTCCGGGATCGGCCTGACGAAGGTTGTCACGCTCATCGGCTAGAACAGCCGCTTCAGCAGGAAAGTTCGGACGCGGATCCTTCATACATCCTGCTGGTATGAAGCGAGCTGCAGCAGCAGTGACAACCCTGCGGGATTTACGTACACCTACGTGAACGTCGGTTGCTATGGGTAGTGCAGTGAAGGCGCTTTCAGTAACATCCGCGGAGCCTTTCCAGTCAGCTTTGGAGAAGCTGACACAGTTCCGGTAATCCGCGGAAGCAAAGTCGGCAGGTTTATCAATCGAGATGACTATGGGCAAATGGTCTGATGCTAGGGTCAGCATAGGTCGCCATTATACGCTGTTTATCAGACCAGCGCTGGCAATTGTTAGATCTGGCGAGCTGCAGCAGCTGCCTATAAGTGGGTGCGTCGTCGTTTATTGTGCAGAATGTCGAATCGTCTATCTGCTCAGCCAGATGTGTTTCCCTACGATCGTTTGACAGGCTTGAGTGCCAAAGATCGTGGTGCGCATTAAAGTCGCCAACTACCATACGGTTTTCACCTCTGAATATTTCAGGGTGATATCCTGCCGGGCGGCTGGTGACAGGGGGTTGAATATTTCGAAATCAACATCACCTGACCGGATAGGAATACCCTGACATTCTGGGATGGTATCCTTGTGGTCGATGTCTGCTGCAATAAGACGATACTGCACGGTGTGGTGCATGATGAACGCTAAGCCTCCACCATTGTCTCGCTCGCGATCTCGACGGTGCACGTTGTATCCCTCGCAATTCAACAAGGTCGTCTCTTGGATCGCAGCTGTTAATATTCCATGCCTTCCCCTGAAGACAGTTATCTCCTCGATCTTGCTCTGGAGTCCGTTACAGTTAAATTTTAGCACATTTGTGTCCCTTGGGAAACCAATTGTGATGTGGATGGTGGAAGGGGGTAGGGATGCAAATTTTGGGGAGTAACATCGATACATCGATGTTTCGATGCATCGGAA